ATAAACTACTCCCACTTGTGCTGATCATTAAATCAGTTTCCTAAATTGAATCCTCCAAGGTAATTAAATCAGTTTCCTAAATTGAATCCTCTACTTAGAGCCCAGTTTTGTTGGGTCTAACATGGATAGTGGCTGAAAATCTGGTTGAAATTACTCAATATTAGACCTGGCAAAAAGTGACCCGACCTGTTTTTGACCCGAAACCCGACCTGAAAACACTGGGTTTTGAACAAAGGTTTTGATGACCGAACCCGAAGTTGACCGAACCCGAAATGACCCGCTAAAAATGGGTCAAACCCGACCGAACCCGAACCCAACCTGACCGACCCGCTAGAGTAAGAATTTTTCAAAATTATACACTTTTTTACTCGTTTTTAGTGTATAAATTTATATTTTCAGACAAAATTTTAATGATATTGCATAATTATCTTACTTTTTTCCAAAACTTTAAGCATTTTTAAATTCCTTATATTGATTTATATATCTAAAAACTACTTTAGAGTTTAAAATAAAATAATTTTATAGATTTAATACTTTTTTTTTTTTGATATTTTAAATTTATTTAATAGAAAATGTAAGCGTTAATGTGATTTTAAAAATTTAAAAAACCAAAGTTATAACCCGTTGGGTCGACCCGAACCCGATGACACTGGGTCATGAACATACAGTTCTCAACCCGAACCCGAATTGACCCGAACCAAAATAACCCGAACTTGAAGTGACCGAACCCGAACCCGACCTGACCGACCGATTTGCCAGCTCTACTCAATATGGTCAATATGTGAAATTATAGAACACTTAAAATATACTCCCTCTGGCCCATGCCCCAAATTAATATTACTTATTTCTTTTTTGGGCTATCCCAAATTAATCTTCTTCTTTCCTTTTTTGGTAAGCTTTATGTGGCTCACATTTTATCTCTCTCCTTTGCATCATTTCCAACCATACAATTTCACTTTTCTTAAATCCTGTGCAAAGTCAAACTAGGAACATTAAATTGGGAAGGAGGGAGTATATTTGAAAAATGAATCAAAGAAAATCAGATTTATTTTCTATGACCAATGAAAAAAACAATACTTCCCGTGATTAAACAATACTTCTTCTGATTTACTTCCTCCGTCCCACTCTTTTTGTCCACTTTCATTTTTGCACACCATCCAATGCACTTCTTTAATCCATTTTATCTTGTAATTTATATATTAAAAAATTATAAAAATTATATATTAATAATCTATATGTTAAGACAAATAAAACAAGATCACACATGACTATTTTTAGACTTACACATGGAGAGAATTTGATGAGTCAAAATGCTTAGATGAACAGTTTCAAAAGTCAAAACTGGACTAAAAGAGTGGGACGGAGGTAGTAAAAAGTATTTATATTTTTTGGTTGAATAGAGATTGATATTCCATCATGCCCCTTTATATGAATATGGTTGCACCTGCTCCCTGCGAAGTATCTTTAATACTACCTCCGTTTCTTAAAACCCTTCATCTTTCATTTTTTTGTTTTTCTTAAAACACTTCCCTTTTCTATTAAAAAACCACTTTTACCCATACTTTTTCATACCCTACCTATCACATCATACTTTTTCACTAACAACTAAACTATCACATCTTACTTTTACACATCACATCAAGGGCAAAATTGGAAAGTCAACTACAATTTAACACTTCCTTATTTTCCCCCAAAGTCAAAAGAGGAACTCTTTTGAGAAACGGAGGGAGTATCATAAATTATGGTACCCGGCCCGAAACATTCTAACTAAATTAAATTACAAAATCAAAATTATTATAACTTGCAGGTGATGTTTAATTTCAAACATTCAATGATATAGGTCTTGTGTTGTTTTCCCTAATGCTGAAATATTATTCGTTTCGAGAAGAAAGCAACCGTGCCGGGCCAGAGTGAGAACTTCATACTTAAGAAGCACAATATGAATGCAATTTCTATCCACTTATTGCTCAATTTAAAAGTTGTTGTGTGGCCACATTATCGTCGTGTTCACATCTGAGTTTGTTTTTGTTTGTGACAATTGTGGGTTCACTTATTTTGAAATATTTTTTCTAACGTCTTTAGAGCTGACTACCATATATGTCTGGTCATATGTATTGATTACAATTTCATATATTGCTGAGGGACCAACATATGTTTGTTGTTCATCACAATTAGTGTGAGAATATTTTGGTCAAAGTTCAGATTTGTAATCTAATTTTTAAATTATGATATTTTAATCCATGCAACCCATGCTCAAGTGTGTGTTGTTTGATTTTGTTAGAAGTTTGGAGCATTTTGTATTGCTTATCATTAAACCCCACTATTTCCAGATGATTGGGATACAATGGACTCATTTCTTTGTACATTAGATCATAATAGCGCTGCTACCCCTCGTGGTTTGCAAAACATGCACCAATACCCCCTCTGTTTTCAAAACTCATTTCTAAAGTCCCCGTGGTTTTAAAAAGCTGCACCCATGCCCCCTCTGATCAATTTCCGGCCATTTTTTCGGCAAAGAAGGGGGGCATCGGTGCATATTTTTTAAACCATAGGGGGTAACTGTGCTGATTTTTATTTCTCGCAATTTTTTTTTTCCATTTTTTCCTTTTTTGTTTCATTTATTAATAAAGGTTTTTTAAAAATATTTTTATAGTGTTCTTAAAATTTAAATTTATTTTTGTTTGAAAAAATTAACATATAATGCATATTTACGTCTCAAATTAACAAATTTTGTTTTTTCTAAATAAAAAGTAATTTTTTTTAGAACTTCAAAAAAATGAGGAATAAAATAAGAAACAAAATAATACAAAAATAAAAATGAATATCGTTTCGGACATCTCAATTCTAAGGACTTTTTTAGGCGTGTCCAATTTTGTTTTTGTATAAGACTTTTTTCCGTACCATATTCTATTTTTTTATTCTGGGTTTTTTTTTTGAAATTTCCAAAAAATTACTCTAAGTAACAAATTAAAAAGTGAAATTGTTTAATTTGAGATAGATGTAATAATGTATGTTAATTTTTTATTTCTATTTTTATTTCAAACACAAAGAATTTTAAAATTTTTGAAACATTATAAAAAATTGAAAATATATTTTTAAAAAATCTAGGAAAAGGAAAAAGAGATAGAAAATATTAAAAAAGGGAAGAATAATAAACGAAAATAAGAAATGAGCACGATTGCCCCCTATGGTTTAGAAATTATGCGTCAATGCCCCCTCTTCGCCGGAAAATGACCGGAAAATGATCATAGGGGGGTGTGAGTGCAACGTTTTGAAACCACGGGGATTTTAGAAATAAGTTTTGAAAACAGAGGGGGTATTGGTGCCAATTTTCCAAACCACAGGGGGTGTCAGAGCTATTTGGCCTATATTTTAGTACCAAATGTATTTGGTAATAAGAATTTTGGAATTATTTTTGGGTCAATCTCACATTTTTTTATTTTTAAAAATTAAACCAAGCTTTGAGGCCCAAAATATTGTGTATCACAAGATTTTCCTAATTATTAGAATAAAATGTCAACTTCTAAATTTATGTGAAGCTACAATTTTTGGTTTAAAGTATTATAATTTTAAAAATCATTGATTTCAATTCAGATCTTGAATTATGGAGTTACAATATCTTGCATCGCATGAATGAAGTAACTAAAATTTTAAGGTTTAATGCATGAAATGAAGAAATTAAAATGAAGCATCTAATAAATACATAGTACTACATAGTAATTAATGTAAGGTTAACTTTTGATAGAGATTGTAATGAAGCACAAATCAATACATATCCATTTATATCTTAAACTATTATTGATAGAAAAAGTAATTCTCAATAAATGAATTCTTTTATTATGTGCATTGTTTATTAATTTTAGAATTTAATAAAGAATATACTTACATACATAGACATATTTTTTTATTGAAGAATATAATTTATACTCCCTCCGTCTATGAGTATTTGTTCACTTTGACTTTTTTTTGTCAAAATTAGTATATTTTGACCTCAAATTAAATAAAAATTATATTATATATTGATACAAAATAGTTTTATTAGATTTATTATATCAAATATTCTCAAAATATTATTTTATCTAATTATTATAATATATATATATATATATATATATATATATATATATATATATGTACGTATGTATGTATATTTCAATTCAACTTCAAAGGTTAAAAACAACTGACCAAAAAAATTAAACTAGACAAATACTCAGAAACGGAGGTAGGATATCGGTAATAAAAAAATTTATTCTTAGATATAATTAATTTTATGTAAAACATAAAATTTAATTTATATATTCATGACAAAAAAATTAATTTTTAAATTTTTATTATCAGTTTTCATTTATTATATTCATCTTAAATTGTAGAATTAATATTTCACCGTGCAACGCACGGGTGAAATACCAATTAAAGTAATAATAATAACAATTTGAATTAAAATTCAATTTCAAATTATTATAATTATTATTATGTGAATTCAAATTAAAATTCAAATAATATTAATGACAATAATAATAATATAAGAGTAACAATAATTTTAATAATAATTTGAACTTGAATTCGGATTCAAATAATAATAATAACAACAACAACAAGCATAACAACAATAACAATAATAATAACAACAACAACAACAACAATAATTATGAGCATTATTGTTCGAATTTGAACTCAAATTTTAATTTAAATAATAATAATAACGTTAATAATAATGATAATAATTATAATTTGAAGTCAAATTCAACTTCAAATAATAATAAATTTAATAATAATAATTATTATTATTATTGAATTTGAATTCAAAAAATAATAATAAATATTATTATTATTTGAATTCAAATTTAAATTTTGATCAGACAAAATCAGTTAAGATCCATTCGAATTAGATAAAATCAGATTCATTCAAGTCGGATCTAAAACATCATATTCAAAAAATAATCAAATCCATTGATCTAATCAGATTTTAAAAATTAGACTCAACTACGGCAAATCGGTCTGTTCACGGCCTTCTTCTCTAAAATCAATTTTCATTGGTTTCTCATTTCTCATTATTCGAAAAGGGGTCCAGGGAGAACGAAAGAGATGCACCAGAGGACATCGACGGCTAGCGGGCGGCCGTCGGGAACCGATGGCTCCGATTTCTCCTACCGCATGGTGGTTGACTCGAGTAGGTTTACTCTCTCCTGACATTTTTTTTGCTTCTGCTAGGGTTTCCCCGATCTGCCAAATATTTTTTTGTTGTTTATCCACTCGAATTTTTTACTTCCATAATCAATGAAATCGCATTTTTTTTTCAATTTAGGGTATCAAAAAGTTGCTAAAGGAAAATCTCAACTTTCTAAGATCATATTCATTCAGGTATAAACAGCTTTAACAGTTTAACCTTTATTTGCTTGCTGTTAATTGCAATGATCTGAATTGTTTCTGTGACTGTTTATGTTGATCTGGTTGCAAGTGTCTTGAAGTTAACGATAATGCAATGGTTTTACTATGAATTTGAGCTGCATTATTTGTTCCAGGCTGTTATTCAATTGATAGTAGCAGCAAATTCATTTTTTGCTGCACAGAAGACAGAGAATTTTGATCGGTGTGCTTTCTGCTCTGTCGCATTAGGCTTCATTTCTCTTATAATTGGGGAATTAGGTTTGTTTGATTTATTATTCTCCCATGCTTTACCTTCACATGTAATGAGCTAATGGTTGTACATTTTTTCATTTTAAAAATGAAATTCTATTTCTTCTGTGAAGGTCGAAAGCGTAGCAGATCAAACTTTTTGAAATTGTATGTAGCCGGATCATCAACTGCTGTAATTCTCTCTGCCGTGTGTTTTGCTATGAGCCGGAACCCTTTGGAGGTAAGTTTACTTCATTTGTATACTTCCATTTACAACTTTACACTACTGATCATCATCTTCATATAGTTTTTAAAAGTTATGTCAGTGCAAATACTTTGTAAAATATGCAATTAGAGATCTTATTTCTTTAATGGTAAAATCATCAATGTTTCCCTACCTTCAAATATGAGTTAAAGAGGGCAGTTTGGTGCAAGTGCACCAAGCATCGATGCTAGGAAAGGGTTTGGCGAAGGATCCTCCATAATGGTGTGGTGTAGGCAAACTTACATTGCATTTTTTCCAGACTGTAAATGTCTGCTTCCAAAATTGGACCAGTGACTTCAAGGTCACACACTCACACGACAACTCAACCAGTGTGCGCCAAGTCTCCCTTACCCTCGAATGCTAGTTTCTTGCTGAAAACTCTTAGCCTCACTTATTGAGATGTTTTGAAAATTATAAATGCTTACCAGGTTTTTTAAGACTTAAACTTGAAAGGAAATATAAAAATATGCTTTAAAATATGGTCCTGACTAATCAAAGAATGCTGTCATGTTTGCATGGTAATCTTAATCTGAGGACTGTCTAATTATTTTTTGTTTCTTTATTTAAATGAGTAGCTCAAAGTTTCCTTATTTCTATTTTCTCTTTAGCAGTGGTCATCGACAAATGGGATATAGAAACAGAGTTATGATTTATTTTGAATTGAACATTGGAGCTATGGATTCGTGAATATTACTCGTAGAATATTTTTTTTACCGTGTTTCTTTTAGGTTCTTCGAAACTTCAATAGCCTGCTGCCACCAAACTTTGAAGTCCTGAAGATTCTTGCTCTCATACTTGGTGAGCTATTTAAACTGAACATTAAATTCTTGTCTTTCCGTGTAAGGGCGTGTTTGATTGTTGGGGAGGGGAGGGGAGGGGAGGGGAAGGGAAGGGAAATGTTCCCCACTTCCCCTCAGTTAGTTTGGTTCAAAAATGTTTTTTAATGTGTGAGTCAAAATGGCCCCGTCCTCTCCCCATTATTTCTCCCACATCAAGAAAATGTTTAATTTTGGGCTTTTGGCTAATTGGCTCCTTCATTGAAAACATATTTTGAACAAAACAAGGGAATCATTTTCCCTCCCTTCCAACCAAACACACCCTAAAACGGTCGAGTGCCTCGTGTAGTGACTCACAACTTTGGTTTTTGCAGGATTCTTGGTACAGATATACTCAGTTGCTATAACTGCATCTTTAATCCGTAATATGGCTCCTCCAAAGAGAGCTTCTTGACGGCTGGATGTTCTCAAGAATCTTTGAACATATGGGGATTAATTAATTGAGACACCTTATCACACTCGTCTGAACTCTGGTATGTTCCCATATAGAGAATGTGATAGCACAAGAAAAAAAACATCTAATTTTCACCCAGCTGTAACTTTCAATCCTCTCAATAAATGCATTTTTGCAGTGTTGATTTGAACATGAACATTGCTGCTTTTATGAACAAATACTACATTGTAAAAGAGTTATTAGTGTTAAAAAAAGAACTCACAGTCCCTTTAATAGAGTCTAATTTCTTGACTTACTTTTGTCACTCAAAGTGTGAGAGTTAACCTTATATTAGGACGGATGACGTATGATGAAATCATGGGGTGCGCGCTATTAGAATATTAGTCCATATTAGAACTTGATACCTCCCAGTCCCTATGTCTATAGGGAGTATAACCTTATATTAGGACGGATGAAGTATTAGTTGATTGAAAGATACTCTCTAATATTCTTGGATTCAAAACTGTCTTTTGCCAGAGGATCTCCTTTGCTAGCAAAACATGATTTTTTAAAACTCATATTCCTATCCTAAAAAAAGTTTGCCGTGGTCGGTTTACATTTAATATATGGACTTATTCTTGTAATTTTAGTTTGTTAGAATCAAAATTTTGGAAAAGGTTCATCAGTATAGCAACAGATTAATAAGGTCTAAGTATTTGGATTTTTTAACATATTTTTTGTTTATTTCAAAAATTGTAAGTTGGGGTGCAACGTAGGTGCACTTAATATGATATTGCCCTTTTAACATAACAACAACAACAACGCAGTTGAATCCCACAATAATAAACCAAACATTCTTGGTTGGGTTTTTATTGTTTTATTAATTTAATTATGTGAGAAAAATTATACTCCCTATTAATTTTGTGAATTTAATGTTCATGTTAGACTTAGCATCTTCAACTACACTGGCTAAACATAACTTCTAAAATCAATTTTTAGCACGGGAATAGTGGTATAGCAAGGCATTTTGCTTTGCTATCTTCAACCTTCCCATACTATAATTTAGATAACAATTATATTATACTCCGTAATATTTTTACCCCTATAGTACACTATTTATAATAATTTTTAAATTGTATTATTTTATACTATAAAAATCAAATAATACTTGATAATACGCAGTTAAAAAATAAAAAAAATTAGTAAAAAAGAAAATTAATATTTTACTTCAAGTAAATTTATAAAATACTACTCCATACGGACTATTATTTTTTTCTTCACCACAAGATAAAAATGGAGTAACCAAAAAATCCATTTGGCAAGCATTTTTCTTCTTTTTTTTTGGCTTGCTATTAATAAGAAGTCATTTTCATTTTTTAGCAAGCTTATCAAAAATTGGCAAGTCTCTTGAAGCATGAAATTTTGCTTGGCTTGTCAATTTATAAATATAACGAGCTATTTTAGCATGCTTGGAGAAGCTCTTAAAAGTGCTTTTGAACAAGCTGCGTTTGTTTATATATTTCATACGTTTTACTAGTATATGATTTACATTACTCTTTTACTCCACATTAATTTTAACTATTGTATGTAGTTTCATTGCGAGCACTATATCATAAAACTGGATATATAGTGTTTCTCATACATTCGTATGAATAACCATTTACGAGTAAGTGAATACTCATTTTTTGAATGATTGAATACTCATTTCCGAGCACAACGAAACTAAATTTTAGAAAAATGAGTATTTTGTTACTTGAAAATGAGTATTCAGTTTCTCAAAAATTAGTATTCAATTACTCGTAAATGTATGAGGTGGAGCAGATTACCCCAAATCTCCTCTTCGAGTTTCATTGCGTAAATTTTCACTTTCCTTGGTTAAAAAAGACCACAAATTTCTGTCATATACTTTCCTTGTGCGAAGAGGCGTGTTTTATTTTTCATTGGAGAAGTTAAAATGAGACCTTAAGCATTTTCCAAATGTCATGTTCTAAGAAATTACCTTACACGTGTCAAAAAATGAGACTTTAAGCATTGCGAAATGGCATATTTTTTAGAGCATGGAGTCTCATTTATATATATAAAGGATAAAGGATATATATATATATATATATATATATATATATATATATATATATATATATATATATATATATATATATATATATATATATATATATATATGGGGTGGTTCAAGTGAGAATAGTGAGAATGCACCTTAGTGAAAGAAATAAGAATAAAATCTAACCTTTGGATCTGATGAATCATGCGGCTCAGATTGCATCATGCACTCAGATTTTGAGATAGTGCATTTTTAAAGGATTTTGGTGCATTTCGACATGATGCATTTTTAAACCAATTTGATGCACCTAATTTTGATGCAATTCTGACCCTTAGATCTCACAATCTAAAGCACTAGATTCATTCTTATTTCTTTCTTAAGATTGCATTCTTACTTGAACATATATATATATATATATATATATATATATATATATATATATATATATATAGTGGTTCCCCCTGTAGAGATGGTCACATGATTGATTGGCGAACCACACCACCCAGGTTCGATCCCCAGAAGATGCAAATTTGGAGGAATTTTAAGGAAATAGATTTGGGCTTATGGGGTTGGGCTTTAGATTGGACTTACTTTGGGTTTCTATAGTGGGCTATATATCTCGGGTGTTAACGGGCCCCGGGCTAGTCACGAGGTTAACGGGCCTCGGGCCCCCTGCTTGTAACCGACCGTTCATTATATATAAAAAAATTGATATATATATATATATATATATATATATATATATATATATATATATATATATATATATATATATATATATATATATATATATATATATAGGGGGAGGTTCATGTGAGAATGCACCTTGGTGAAAGAAATAAGAATAAAATCTAGCCTTTGGATCTGATGCATCGTGCGGCTCAGATTGTATCCTGGACTCAGATTTTGAGATAGTGCATTTTCAAAGGATTTTGGTGCATTTCGACATGATACATTTTCAAATCATTTTGGTGCACCTAATTTTGATGCAATCCTGACCCTTAGATCTCACAATCTAAAAATCAAAACACACACACACACAGATATATATATATATATATATATATATATATATATATATATATATATATATATATATATATATGGGCTGGTTCCTGTGAGAATGCACCTTGTGGAGAGAAATGAGAATAAAATCTAGCCGTTAGATCTGATGCATCGTGCGGCTCAGATTGCATTCTGTGCTCATATTTTAAGATAGTGCATTTTCAAAGGATTTTGATGCATTTCGACGTGATGCATTTTAAAACCATTTTGGTGCATCTAATTTCGATGCAATCCTGGCTCTTAGATCTCACAATCTAAAGCATCAAATTTATTCTCTTTTCTTTCTAAGATCGCAATCTCACCAGAACACACACACACACACACACACAATATATATATATGTATATAATGCTTAAATATAATTGCTCCCAATAAAAAAACTGCCCCCAGTCCAATTGGCCCAACCCAATTAACTAGTATAAAGACCCAATCTTATTATCCAAAAGTGGCCCAATTGTCTAAATTCCCAAAAATTAAATATAATCCCTTAAAAGTCGTGAAGCGCCGTTCAGGAGCAGAGACCGAGAAGCAGAGCCGAGCAACTGAAGCCAGAAGGCGTGAAGCGCCGATCAGGAGCACCGAGCAGACGAGCACCGCCGTCGCCCGTCCGCCGCGTCGCCTCCAGTCCGCCACAGGCCCACAGCGTCAATCGTTCAAACCTTCAAATTTCAGGTATTTCCAAATAATTTCTTTCCTTTTTAAATTATGAACTCAATATTTAGATAAATCTGAAATTTAGATTTATGTGTAATGCGTGAAACCTTTGGATAATTTGTTTTTATATTTCAATTTTCTATAAAATGAAATTGTTTATTATGTTGGATTATTATTAATTATAATTTATAATTGTCCCAAAACATATGAATTGATGACTCTAGTCTTTAAAAATATATTAGTTCTCAATTGATACATTTAAATAATTTTCTCTAATTTTTGGACATAGATTTAGTAAAAAAGTTTATTTCATTTTATAATTTTTTAGATAATGGAGAAGTTTTTTAAACGGAAGTCCCCCTCAACAAGTGATTCTGGACCATCTGTACCTTCAATAGCTAAAGAAATAGATTTAAGTGATCTTCCGTGAGATCGTTCAGACAGAAAAAAGATTTTAATTGTTCTATCTATTTAATAATACCTTGTTTTTTAATTTAATTTTAATGATAAGAAATATGTTCTATCTATTTAATTGTCTCTTGTTTTTAAATTTTATTTTTTTCACTTTAATTTACTTAATGACCCCAGCGAAAAAATTTCTTGGATCCACGATTGGTGAGTATGATTCATTTAGCCCTTGTTAATTCTCCTAAGTACCTTCTTCAAAATTATTGCCTTTTTTTAATATTCAGGGATAAACTGACAATTTTCGAAGAATTCAGGGGTATTTGGTACATTTTTTAATAATCAAAAGTAGACCGTGTAATTTTTAAATAATTTAGAAATATTTGATATACTTTTTACTACGTAATATTTAGTGGTAAACCGTCCAATTTTTCAAGAACTTAGTAGTAATTTCTCTTTTCTATTTCTTATTTAATTTCTAATATAGGGAGTAACGCGCATTCCTGTTCTTCCTCGTCTATCGTATTCGTAGAAGATCGAGAGAGAGATTTTGATCGACTGTCGTGTTAGTCGTTGTGCCCACAGCTTAGAGGGGAGGGTGAATAAGGCGTTTTAAAAGTTTTCAGAGTTTGATGAAAACGGTGTTGGCAAATGCAGAATAAATAAATAAAACACAGAAATAAAAGCATAAAGTAAAAGACACACCAACTTTATACTGGTTCGGGAAATCCCTACTCCAGTACATTAAAGCTCCTCCTTTAGGATTTCCGAATCTACTAAGTCCCGGTCTCTTGAACTCCGTCAAAGCACTGCACTAGTTTTGTAAACAACTCTTGCCAATAGGATTCACTCTGAGATTTTACGACTATCTCGAACCACTTACAATAAGATTTAACGGCTATCTTCTACTGTTCTCCTAAAGATTTGAAAGGTTATCCTTGAATCTTTACTCAAGGATTTATAGGGCTATCCTCAACCGTTACAACATGAGAATTTAACGGCTATTTTCGATTGTAAAAAGATATGTTTGAAGAACATAAGAAATGGTTCTACACAACGGCTTGAATACAAAATTGAAGAATAAAATTTTTGCCGGTGTAGAATGAAAACTATACTCTCTCAAAAGATACAAAATAAACTTATGAATATGAGAGTATATAACTAAAACACAAGCTCAAAGTGTGTATTAAAATCAAGAGAATGAGGCTCTTAAAGTAGCCAAAATATGAAGAATTAAGAATAAAAGGGAAAACACATTTGAAATATAGGATGTTTGGAGTTTGAGTTTTTCTTTGGGAAATGAAGGATTATGCTTGTATTTATAGTAGAAAAAATTAGTGAGCTGTTGGAGGGTGATTGGGATATGTTTTGACCAATTCAAGATGTTAAAATTCAAAATCAGTAATCAGGAGCAGTACCCAACGGTCACGGTAGACGGGTACCGTCCTCACGGTATCATGGTACCGTTCGTACGGTAGGGGGTACCGTGAGCGGCGGTACCTTGGTACTGTGTATTGTCAAAACTAACCCGCTCTGTGGATACCTAACTCTAACGGTACAGGAGTACCGTGGGGACGGTATACCCTACCGTGTAGACGGTATAGGGTACCATTTGTGGGGTATCGTGGCAACTGACAGATTTTTCCAAAAGTGTTTGAATCCTTCTCGTTTGAGTTTAAACCTTTTGGATGTTTGAAAGTGTTTATGATATGGTTTTAAATATTTTTTGTGAGTGATTTTGATCTTGTGAATATAGGTATATAAAATCACATCCTTACATTGGTTCAACCTATAATCTACACTAGTTTAGTGCTTCGACTTCATTCTCGAGAACCAAATTTTGATGGATTCTTGTTGTACCTGAAACAATTAAACAAACTGTAACGCCTCAAAATATACCCTAGAATTTTTATAACAAATTCTTAGTAAATCATAATTCTAATTTCCATTCAAATTAAATAAAACATCGAAACAAAAATATTAAAATAGAATATTTTTAAGTAGTTTTTTATTTGCCAAGATTATACTCGAATTGAAGGTGGGAGAAAGACCAAAGTAAGACTAAAACATTGAAAATATACCAAAATAGGACTTTTATGTTTTTATTCCCGAAATAGGATTTACATTACCATACATGGTCATATACATTTCTCCATCATCTCCGATGGAGCCAAAATTTCACTATTTTTTTGGCTTTGGGTGTGATGGAATAAATCAAAATGGATCTCTAAACTGTCGCGCTTCTTTAATTAATGAAGTAGCAGTTAGTCAAACAATGCAACTTTCGACGTTGAGCCGGGGGTCTCTTTAGAAACAGCCTATCTACTTTCGAGTAGGGGTAAGGTCTGCGTACACACACCCTCCTCAGACCCTACTCTTGTGGGATTTAACTGGGTTGTTGTTGTTGTTGTGGTCATATACATTACCAAAAAAGTATAGTAATTTGCGCATGTACACTGCCACATTACAAGGCAAAATCACATTACCACAGTGCAAAGTTCTATTTCATGAAAAAAATATGAAAGTCCTATTTTGGTACTTTTCTCTATGTTTTAGTTCTATTTAGGGTGATTTCTAATTGAAGGTCTCGATGAAACGAGTTCAACGACATATTATTTGTCAAGTTTGAAATTTTGTGTGAATCGTCATTCCATAATGAGGGAAAAAGTCAATGCAGTTCATTAAATAAATATTGTGAATTTCGGTAATATAATACTCCGTATTAAAGTAATAATATACTAATAATATACTGTAATATTTTCTAAAACTAAAGCTAAGGACTACACCAACCCAAATCTAGGGAAGAAACCAATTCTAATCCTAAAAGAGGGACTTAACGCTGTCGTTCTTCTTCGCCGCGCCACAAACCGGATCAGACCAGGAGAACCTCCACCTCCACCTGAGTACCGGAAGTTGACGGAAAGCTTCGCCGGAATTCTACGCCGATTCAAGGTGAAAGGTGGTTTCTTACGTTAGGATTAATTGGTAGATTAGTATTGGTTAATATGTTTTCAATCGATTGACGTTGGATTTGCTATTTCGAGTATAGATTAGGTTGAATTGAATTAGAAATTGTAATATGGGATTTCGTTCTGTTCTTGGGTTTCTTTCTGCTTTCCTACTCTCGCTCGGTTCTACCCTTTTCTTTCTACCCTGTTATGTTCCTGCTGTTCTGAACGTGAAAAAGGGTTGCTGCTCTTCTACCGTCGAGAAGGAATCACCGCCGGACTGCCTATTTGCCGCAGGGGTCACTGTGCAGTGGGAAGGAACCACCGGAGAACTCATGTTTTTGCTGGTCTGGTTGAATGTGAGAGTTTAGAAGAAGTAAAAATGAATAATCTTCATGCTTTGTTGTTGTTCTTGTTTTATACTACCTCCGTCCCACTGTGTTTGTCCACATTTGACTTTTGAAACTGTTCATCTAAGCACTTTGACTCATCAAATTCTCTCAATGTGTTAGCCTAAAAATAGTCATGTGTGATCTTGTTTGATTCGTCTTAACATATAGATTATTAATATATAATTTCTATAATTTTTTAATATACAAATTACAAGATAAAATGGATTAAAGAAGTGCATTGGATGGTGTGCCAAAAGGTAAGTGGACAAAGACAGTGGGACGGAGGGAGTACTTCATTGTAACAAATCTAATACTCCCTCCGCCCACAATTGATTACAATTTTTTTCTCCTTCTCATCTCGATAAATTCTGTTTATTTGTGTATTTTACGGACAGGCTCTGATCAATCCAGTCCTATTCCACCTGGCGATCCAATCCTTTAGCAGGCAAACCATGGCGGAACCAAAGCCTGTAATAGGGCTAACGTGGGAGCCGAAGCTGCCCGGACTCCCAGTCCCTGCCGACAAGCATAAGCTCCACCATTCCAAGCCCCCTGAAACTACTAGCTCTGCCCTTTACATGCCCCGTTCGGAGCTGGTCGATGGTCTCTTCGTGCCACCTATAGATCCCAAAAAGCTTAGGATTTTACGCCGCAAAGAGGTCAAAGACACTACTGGGAAGAACTGGTAACTAATCCTCTTCTCTTTCTTCCTCATATCACTGATTAGTATGGGGAATAGCCGAATAGGGTACCAAAGTTCTAATGTCAATTCACATACTTATTGATGCTTGATTCTTGTCCTTGATTGGTCTCGAATTTGCATTAGGTTTGACATGCCTGCTCCAACTATTACTCCGGAGCTAAAACATGATCTTGAGATATTGAAGGTGCCTTCTCTTTCTCTGTGATTTGCTCAATAAGTTGTAGCTCGATTTGATGGTTAGCTCAATGGCATATTCTTGCAAGTTTGAAGCTTATTATTTTCTGATATGGTAATTTAGTGGTGACTAATTTTCAGTCCTGAACTGCTTAGTATGTAAATGCTACTACAGTGTCAATATAGTAGATTGACTGGAATTTTAAATATTGACTGTGATTAGGTTTCTGTCAGGGTTATTTGTTGAATTCGGAAAACTTTATTGTTATGTACTAATGTACTCCGTAGTAAAATGGTGTTGAGCTGTGCAAATCCACTGCCTAGCATAAGTGCAAATGCATTATGGCCAAAAATGTAATTCGTCCCATTTTACTGGAGAGAGAACTGTAATACTTCGTAATAAAAAAATGATGAATGTATTGAGCATTTTATCTATCATCTTATGTAGGACTACAAGATTTGATTCAAATTGAGTCAGGCATTTAGATCATTTTTTTGTGGCATATTTAATCAGTTTATTGTGCTTGAGAAGCTTGTTCAATTAATTTAATAGATAATCTTCTTCAACGAAGTGTTGCTGCTGAAGTCATAGATTAGAACCTCAATAGAATTGTAAGAAAGTTAGAGTGGAAGACTTCTCTGGATGCACAAAATTGGAAATAGTAGTGAATGTGTGGTTTTTGTGGTTTTTCGATTGAGATCAATGAGCTTAGCCGAGAGCTGTAGCTAAGCTCTAGGGCCTAGCTAGGGATAACAAGAGATTGATCTAACGTCTACACTAATTTTGACTCTCTTCATTTTTCTATCTGACGACTCATTAGTTCTTGCTTTTTCTGTTCCCTTCCTCTTTCTGGTTTTGCTTTTCTTGATGTTCATGTGCAAGTGCAACGTATAGTCTTCTTTTTAGAATGAATGAATGATAAAGTTGGCTAATTGCTTCATAGTTTTTGTTTGTTTGTTTTTGTTTTAATCTATTTGGTTTTTATTGGTCCCTAATCCGTATAGCTTCAATAATAAAACTGATATCTGTATCAGTAATAAGCGTATCCCTTTAACTATCGACCTAAAACATTGCACTTTCACCTCTGTAAATAAAATTTTTTTAGACTTAGATCTTCTATTCCCCTTTTATAGCTATGTTAAAGAATGGCCAAATGAGATGACATGGAAAGAACTTCCCTTTAACCCACACCCCTCCTTGTAAATGTCAATGTGATACAAATGTCCTCATATATGCCTACAGTAATGGACTGATAGATATAAGTTATATAAGTAGGGATAAATATATGGAATCAAGTGCGAAATATCTGCAATCAACTGCTTAACTTATAGATATGCCAACCATAGTCACCTAAATTGCGGTACGTTTCGGTACGGGGTACGCGGTGCGGGAACAAAATTTGCTAGAGGTGACGAATTCGGTATGAAGGGGGATAGGTTCATTTCGGTATGAAGCCGTTCGGTGTACCATGTATTTGGTTCGGTGTACCAAAAGTCAAAACATAAGTCAACAAAAATAGATAAGATGAGCATAAGTGCATAACGTTACAAAATCCAATAGATGAATAGAACATCAACTAAGATATTCTAATCTACTTGTTGCCTTTTTCCTCCCCTATTGTCAAAGCCTTCATTATCAAGGTCTTCCCAAACTATTTCTTCAAGGTGAGCACTTGAACCTTCTATATATGCATTTTCAGGATTCACGTCCCACTTTTTGTGAGGGCCTGATTTGTAGGAATCAGAAAAGCATGATTGAAGTCGAATATTCGAGTGAATAAACACAAGTTTATCGGCTCGCTTTCAATTTAAGTGATTCCTCTTGACATTATATATAGGAGTATGCTCTCAAATTTCTCTCCGCCGAAGAGCTACTAATTGGCTAGGCAGCGAATTCTATGACTATGATGCTAGCATCCATCGATTTATGCCTACAGTACGTGGATATAACTAGAGATATGGGAATTGAGATGACAGTATACTTAACCGATGCAACTTCTATCCTAAAAAAGAGATTAGTTTGATCAATGTACAATTTTAAACCTTTTAAATTTTGGTAAGGTACAACTGGTAGAACATTATAAATCATATTTAGATTTTTAAATTTCATTGGTTGGCTTCCTAAATTTATCCAATGTAGCAAATTACATGAATAATCAGCTTTGGTTGATCCAACTGGACTCTTTTTCTGGATAAGAAGTGTCTGAAACATGACTCATTTTTTGAAACCAAGGGAGTAGTTGCGTTGCTACATCTGTAGTGCGACCATGTTATCGTATTTCTAGTCATTACAAAATGTTCAATTCTTTGTCCGAAATATGAACAATGTCTGCCAATTATGGATGCATAACCTTTTGCAGATGTTTGATAACTATTTGAATTAGGAAGGCTTTCACAATACTACTTATTTTGATTGATTTTGAAATTTGTTGGATGATATGGTTGAAAGACTTGAGTGTTTTTGCAGATGAGAGATGCTTTAGATCCAAAGAAGCACTATAAAAAAGGCGCTTCAAAATCTAAAGCACTTCCCAAGTATTTCCAGGCAAGTAGATTGTTGACTTATGTATTCTACACTATCACATTTCAGTACTACCTTATTCTAGCATTTGAAAATGAGTTATGTCTGTTGGATCAGGTGGGTGTTGTGATAGAGCCAGCATCGGAATTCTATTCCAGTAGACTTACCAAGAAGGAGAGGAAGGCAACCCTTGCAGATGAACTGGTTTCTGATGCCCACCTTGCGGAATATAGGTAAGCTTGAGAAAATAAAAGTTGGTTAATTGGTTTCTATAGTAATTGAGGAGAAAGAACTCTAAAACTTAATCTGGATGGAATGAAATCCGCCACATACTAATATTCCTATTTGAACACGATTACTAATAAAAGTGAGATTGTATCGCTGAAATTTATTTTTTAAAAAAGAAAGAGTAATATCAACCACACTTTTCTTAGAAGGAAATAGGAAGATTATTTAGAGAAGGAACAAAAGGAAAACATAAAGATTAATTTGGGACGGAAGTACTTAACAAATTGAAGAAAACACGTAAAGGTGAGAACACACAAGCACTGAGATTCTCAGTTGCAATTTCTTCGTTATGTTCCTTTCGTACTGCACCATGAAACAAAAACAAAAACAAAAAAAAAACTAAAGACTAACATGCTTTGAATTTTTTGTTCACAGGAAGCGAAAGGTTAGGGAGATTGAAGCACAAAGGCGGCCACATGTTGTGGCTAAGTGGAAGCACAAAGCCAATCAGTCGGGGAGGCGTACAAAGCCAAAGCGGCATTGATCAGACCAAACCTTTCCTGCTCTGATGAGCTTAAACTTCATGGCTTTGATTTGAACTGGACAAGTTATATAGAACTTGTTTTGCCTATGGCTTCTGTTATGATGTGCCCTAACTTCACATCAAACAGGTGAATTTTTTGACTCTAAAAAAACACTTAGGAGTTTGTTTTAGTTGTACTGTTGTTTTAACTCCATATATTAGACACTTGATATGTTTTCCTCTGTAATAAATTTCTCCTGTCCCAAAAAAGTGCGCTTTATTTTTTTTTAGATGTTTGTGCCAATTTGTTGTGCCTGTTTCGTCTTATAAAAGCATTACCCCTGTATACATGATGAATAAATATATTTGTATCCCAAAGATTGTATTACAAAATTCACCACAAAAGTTTACGCTTACATTTTGCGTGAATGTAAGTGTGAATTTAATGGCTTACATTGACACAAAATGATAGTGTAAAATTTTGCGATCAGACATTTAGTGTCAATGTAAGTGTAAAGCTTTGGGGAATATTTTGGAGTGCACCTGGCATGCTTGATACATGATTCACAGGGTCAAATGGTCAAATCACATCTTTTTTTCTTTCACATCTCGCGCTATAGGAATAGAGGGGGCTTGTATTTTAAAAGATCCTTCATATATATGGAGTATTTTACCCTGTAATATTTTAATTACACAATTTTTATATTATTTAAAGTTGTGTTACTAGACATTTTTTGACGGAGGAGAGTATTGTTAGTATTATTGTAATCACATTTTAATGTAGTAATCATTAGTTAAATAAGTTCCTTTTTTTTTGCTTAACGTATGTGAGTATGATTTCATGTATTTGGTTGTGTTGAGCAATATGGAGTGTTTTTCATGTACTTAGAAAAAAAAAAACTTCATGCTTCTCCGTTATCCCCTATATCATACAGAGTATACGTGAGTACTCATAAGAAAAAAGTAAAAATGAATGTGATTTGTGAACCATGCAAACATAACTAAATATGGTATGTGACAAAAATAGTCTCATAGACAATTGATAAAAAGGAAGAAAAATAACAGAAAATTGTATTTCATTTTTGGCAAAGTATTGCAAGATCATTGAATAGTAATATTTACAAAAGCTTAAACTAATGAGCTTTGAGTGAATATAATCCCAAATGTGAGCACTTCTCAAGGCAATGGCTCTTGCCAATCTCCAAGCCTTGACTGGTGAAGGTAAGCATTTATCCCTGTAAAGTAGGGCTCAGTTCGATTTTGACAGTTCGGTTTTCTCCCAAACCAAAGACAAAACAGAAGGTAAGTTGGCGATTCAATTTTATTTGGTTTAGTTTTATACGGTTTTTATTTCGGTTTTTTTGGTATTTTCGGTTTATAAAAGTAAAAATTTATAAGCATTAAAAAATTATAAAAGTACTAACTCGATGAAGGAATAACAATATGTAGAGTTGGAATTGGTTTTTTGGTTTGATTTTTATACAAAACAAAAAATCGAACGAAAGGTTAGTGTTCTGTTTGGTTCAATTTTACATAAAAAATATGTTTCGAGTATCCAATAAATTTCTAGGAGATTTCAAATACTCCCAAAGACATCATATGTAAATACTCTCTCCATCCTAAGTACTCTTGTAAAATTGAACCAAACAGATACTGAGGCGGCAAACCAGAGACGCCATTAATGAACCTCGAACCAGCTGATTCTTGGCGGGTGATGAAGCTCTCAAGAAAAGAACTTGTAGCTGACCCAAACCTCAGAAGCCCAGAATTCTTCTGGTTATTATCCTTATGATTATCAAGAAATATGGGGTTTGGAAGAGAAGAAGAAGAGTCCATGAACAGGAGCTCCTTACTGCTATTCTAGAATAACCCCTGATTGGTTGGGCTAGAATCCATGGGAAATATAGAGCTGGAATCACCCAAAGATTGCGAATCTTCAAACATTTCTTTCTTTCTTTCTTTCTTTTTTTCTCTCTAGTTTAATCAACAAGAATTGCTTTCCCAAAAAAGAGCTTTAAATCTATGCTATTTTTGGGAGGGAAGCTTTGACATAGGATTTAGATGCACTAATTATAGTAAAGTCGTTGATGGTCCAAGCCGCTCCCGGTTCTCCTCTTTTCTCTCCTCCTCTTCCAGACCTTATCTCATGGTCAGAATGTTGAAATTGTCACTGTCCATCCTTCTACATGTGTTCAAGTAGGCCTTCTTGGCTGCAGGCTGATCACCAAGGGTCCTCTCAATGCCTTCTAGGGTCTTGAACTTTAGACATAAATGTCCGAGGGATAGGGCCCCTCCTAGGTCCTCTAATCCGGGCCTCTCCAGAATGGCATTATGGGCGCACTTGATGTCGACCACCAAAAAATCCATTTTCATATGTCTCACCGTAGGATGTTCACCTATTATCACATCCAACTTAATGGACCCCTCCAGCTCAAAAATGTCTCCGGTGAAGCAGGACAGAGGCATATTAAGTTTGGTGAGGTCCTCCTTCTTGACTCCGAGATGTTGGGCCGCTTCCCAATACAGCACATTGACACTGCTCCCTGTATCAACCAATATTCGTTTCACAAAAAATTTATGAATGGCCATAGAAATTACTAGGGGAATCTTGTGCGGGCTGATGAGCGACAAGTCCTCATCTGAGAACACAATGGGTTCTCTCTTTCCTTTCTTGGCAATCTGACCAACATCAATGAATCCCGCATACAATCTGCGGGTCCATTCCTTCCTCTCTTTGGTGGTGATTCTTGTCTCTGGACCGCCAAAAATGACTCCAACTTGGGGGAATCCTTCCAGGTTCTCTTGGGCTTGTTGTGGTTGGGCATCCCTACGCCAAACATTGTCTGCTCGGTTTGGTTCTTGATCTGATGCTTGGCCCCTTTCCTTCATTCGGTCCTCCATTTTCTTGAAGAACACGCACTCTTCTGTAGCGTGTCCAGTCTTTCTATGGAAATTACATTATTTAGCTGGGTCATAGGGCCATTGTTTTCTCTTATGGTCCCCACGTTTTCTCTTTTGTCCACCCTCCTCCTTACCCTTAATTTCTTCCACTTGGGCGGCCTATCCTGGGACGAATGGCTTGAGGGTAGGGATAGAGATGGTGGACGCTTTGGCCTTCTCATTCTTTTTCCCTGAGGGTTTATGCAAAGTCCCCTCATTCTTTGTTTTCAAGCGATCCGACTTTTCTGTGGCACTGAACTTGTTGACCCTAGCCATCATAGCTTTGTAAGAAATAGGGGTGTCGTAATCTAACTTTCTAAATAACTCTTCGGACCTCAAGACGCTCAAAAACAGAGCAATGAAAGTCTTATCGTCCATGGGTTCCACTTCATTGATGGCCTCGTTCCATCTCTGCACCAATGAAAAATAATCCAGTCAGCGAGTGGCAACTGAATAGAGTGCAAAAAATTGCAGTTGGGTACCTCAATTTTGTGATAAGAACTCGCAGGTCTCATTATATTTTCAAAATATACTTCGGGAAATCGGGGTACCTTAAAATATTCAAAAAGTCACTCCGAGGTGACAATCTGTCAACCTCTACGTCAAATTCAATATGCCGTTATCTTTTTCATCATCATCGCCACATCTTTCCATCTTCTTCTTCACATTTCGTCTTCTTCTCCAGCCCCCCATCCCTCATCTTTTCTTCTTCTTTTTTTTGTTTTGTTTTGAATTCTACGCCATCACATCCCCTTTTTTGCTTCTTCATTTTCTTTTCTTCTATCATTATTATTATTTTATTATTTGTTATTATTATTATTATCATTATTTACTCCCTCCGTCCTATAATGTTCTTCCCGTTTATGTTTACGAGGTTTGACTCGACTTTATTCAATTCAATTTATTTGATTGTAGGTGTAAAATTTAAAAATAAAATTTATATATTTTAAAATTACATCAAAAGTTCTACAAAACAAGTGGTGACAAAACTATATTATTTTGTCAAATACCTAATGAAAATAGGTAAAGAAAGTGATTAAAATTTGATTGTATGAAAAGTAACTGGAAAGAACATTTTAGGAAGGAGGGAGTATTTTTTTTATTATTAAATTTAACTAGTAGTTTTACTTCTCTAATCATTTTAGCAAAATAGCACTAAGGCCCCTAAAAATTTTTATACCCCATTAACCTTTTCTAATCTTCACTTGCATAAAAAAAAGTTATGTACTCCATATAATTTATAAAATTAAGATTATTTATTAACTTGGTTATAAATTATACGTCGTAATTCATAATAATAATATTAAATTCAACACTATTTTTACCGTCTCATAATATTTTTAGAAAAATTCAAAGACACTTACTCGTCTTATTCTTGCCCCAAGCCCTCTCATTTTCTAGATTCACCACTATTAATAGTGATTGTCGATGACTAATGCGTGACTAATGCGGAAGACAACATCAGATGGCTGCAAAATTAGAGTTGTGAAAATTACTAATAATTTTTTTAAAAAGCCAATAGTTAGTGTGATTTTAAATACTAAGTGCTTTTTCTAAATAATAATTAGTGTTATTTTCTTAAAAATGGAGTAATAAAAGAACTAACTAATTTTTAATAATAATAATAATAAATAAAAAAAATAATAATAATAAAAGAAGAAGAAGAAAATCATGATAAATAAATAATGATTAATATGAATTAAAAATAATATGTAATTTTATTTTTATAAAAATGTACGGTAGTAAAATTACTAATTATTTCTTTTAATTAATAATAGTAGTAATGATAATAAGTGTTATGTTTTTAATAATAAGTGCTATTTAGAAAACTACTAATCAATTTTTTAATAATAATAATTCCTAATAAAAAATTTATAACACTAATTGTTATTTAGAAAAATAGCACTTATTATTAAAAATAACACATATTATTATTAATACTATTATTTATTAAAATAAATAATTAGTAATTTTACTACTATAATTGTATTAAAATATCTTATTTTCTTCTTCTTCTTCTATTATTATTACTGTTATTTATTAAAATTATTTTTATTTATCGTTATTATAATTATTATTATTATTAAAAATTAGTTAGTTGTTTTATTAATCTATTTTTAATAAAATAATACCAATTATTATTTTAAAAAAGCACTTATTATTTAAAATAACAATTATTATCATCTTTTAGAAAAAACTATTAGTAGTTTTCAAAACTCTAATTTTGCATCCATCTAATGTTGTCTTTTTTATTAGTCACGCAGTAGTCATCGACATCCACCATTAATAGCAGTGAACCCAAAAAAATGAGAGGACTTGGAGCAAGAATAAGACGGGTTATTGCCTCTGCATTTTTCTAAAGATAATATGAAACGAAAAAAATAGTGTTGAATTGAATATTATCATAATTAATTACGACGTATAAGTTTTAACCAAGTTAATAAATAATATTAATTTTATAAATTATAAATAACTTTTCTTACGCAAGTGAAGATTAGAAAAGGTTAATGGGGGCATACAAATTTTTTTAGGGGCCTTAGTGTTATTTGCCTAAAACAATTGGAGTAGTAAAGGGTAAAACTACTAATTAAATAATAATAATAACAACAACAACAACAAATAATAATATAATAGTAATAGAAGAAAAGAAAAATGAAGAAGCAAAAAAGGGGGATGGCGTAGAATTCAAAACAAAAAAAGTAAAGAAAAAGAGAGGGGTGGGTGGCTGGAGAAGAAAACGAAAGATGAAGAAGATGGTGGCGATGATGATTAAAAAGATAACGGCAAATTGGATTTGACGGAGAGATTGACGGATTGTCACCCCGTAGTGATTTTTTGAATATTTTAAGGTACCTCGCAGTATATTTTGCAAAGTAATGGAACCTCTGCGAGTTCTTATCCCAAAACTGGGAGTACCCCAGCAGCAATTTTTTTGAATAGAGTGACATATCCTGCATTGGCAAGTCATTATTTTTATCATTTTTTTTTCATTTTCTTGCTATATTTGAATTACTCCGCATTAAAAAAAATCTGGGGAATTCCAGTTTCAGAAATTTTAAGCGGTGAGTATGAGGTAATGTGATTGGCAATACTTTTGGCATTCCCCAGATTTTCTCCGGAACTATTAGAGGAAGAACACTTGATCTAGCAACCACTCAACTGCTTGAACAAGGCAATTACAAATTACTCCGTTTTCATTTTTACGATTTATACTAAGATTAATCTTGCGTAACAAATGTATTATCGTACTCCAGTGTCACTAGAACCCCACTGATGTATTATATATATATGCTGGACGGAGCATAACAAAGTCTAACTGACAAGGATTTGGTAAGGCGTTAGCAAGTGAGAGAAGAGATTAGTTACATGCCCCAAATACCTCGAGCTAGGGTGGATTTGCCAGGCCGAGACGTTAGTTCACACAAAATCCTTGCAAATATATCAGAATGCTTTCCGTCGGCAAAGAGAATCTCAGTGAAAGCAGTTTCAAAGACGAGCAGAAGGGGCTTGTTCTGTGGCTCTGCCACTAGGCTCTCCAAAATAGAGGCTGCCTTCCTGCAAACTTCTGATACTGGATGCGGCGACTTGATTACTTTCAACAACCGATCAATTGCCCTACGCACACAAAAGAAAAAAAAGTTCCAAGGAAATGGAAATAGGCTTGAAATGTAAGTTTTAAGCTAGGAAAGATGTAATCTTAGATTCATCTCACCATCTTTCACTTGCAAGCTTCAGTCGGCAGTCCATGTTTACTTCTACAAGATTGTACAATGCGCCCACGGCAGCAGCCTGAGCATCGTTTGTAGGCAGACTCATCATATCGATTAATCTTTTATAAATCTGCAAAAACCATTGTCAATTCTTCATTGTTATTGCGTTTCCATGTGGTGATCTTTTACATTTTTTGAAGCCGAACCAGTAAGAATTGTAATAACAAAGCAACCTGTAAAGCAAAGGGAAGAATGAATGGTTCATTATCAGGATTTAAAATTAGACGACCAATCAGTTCAGCAGCTCCACAATGCCAGGCTCTGACAGATGATCTCAGCAGGCCCATGATAGCCTCGACAGCACGTTTCTCCCTGATAATAGAAACCCCGCAGTGAAATGGAATCAGATTAGAACCAATATCAAAAACATTAAGAAACCACAGAATAAAAGAATTTGTACCTCATGTTAAGGACAGAAGGTTTTGATGAACTAAATATTCGAAGATCTAGCGAATGGCACAGATTAACAATAGTTTCAAGCACATTTGTAACAAGCTCCTCATCCTCTGGAAACATTAAAAAGTTCACACACATTGAAATAATATGACAGAGTATATATAGTATTGATCATATCAAACAAAAACAATTACATGATAATCACAAGCCATACAATGATAATAGAGAAAATTATGCATTGGTAATGGTTCTACTTATGTTCTCAAGTCTCACCTACAACATAATCCTCAAGACACTGAAAAAGGGTTTCAACACAATGTCGATGGTTAGCCATGATAGCTTCGTTATCTGCTATGAAAGAAAAATTTCGTATAATATTAGAGGCAACAACAGCACATTGTTGCTTTTCAGTTCTCCCTTCCTCATCCAAGCTAAATAGGCCATCTTCTTCAAACCACCAACCAGCATGACACGTTATTGCAGCAGTCTTTTGAACAGAGGTCTCTTTGATGGAAGATCCAGTTCCAGAGCTGCAATTAAAGGGTCATTTGTATCACGTAGCTACTCCGTTAGTTTCACCTTGTTTATTACTCCCTCCATCCCACTATTTTTGTCTCATTCACTATTCACAAGGTCCAACTAAATCTACTTTCTTTACATATTTTCATCTATCATTTGTCAAAAAAAATATATTCATGTCACCTATTGTTTTCTAGAGCTTTTGATGTAGTTTTCAAATATATAATTTTTTTTAATTATACACCAATATTTAAACATTTTTCATCAAAAAAAGTTTCAGTCAAACATCGTAACCCAAAAAGGGACAAAGATAGCGGGTCGGAGGGAGTAACATTTAAGATTGTCAAGAGTTTAGAACAATCATGCAAAATTTACCTAGGATGGGGAATTGAACCATTTGACCCCACTTCGTCATATTCATTTCCGAATCCAGTGAAAAAAGAATTTGTACCCAAGAGTCTCACCCTAGGTGCTTTCACAAGCACCCTTGGTAAGGCTATATCACGCCACTCATCTATCTGTTATTATTATATTCATCAGTATGCTCATACATTTTAAAGGCCCTCAACAGCAGTGGGGGTTGGGATGGATAGTTGTACAGTGTAAATTCATTATGTTTATCAAAAACTTACGATTTGAAGTAAAGCATCAAGCAATCCAGGAATTTTAGAAAGAGGGATAGCATCTCTACGAATTTCATCTTTTTCCTTGAACGAAAGCAATGTGAGTGTATTGAATGCCCATGTCAACTCACTCTTTAATCCACTTTGAAGGGCAAGAACAATCCTTTTGTAATTCAGCTCTGGAAGAATTAGTAAAAAAGAAAACAGGTAATGAACTGGGGCCAAATAAAGAATTGAAACCCAAAGTTTCAAAGCCTGCAATTAACAGTCATCTCGCTTTCCATATTTTTTTAGTGCTATCTCACTTTCCATATACTAAGTATTCAAATTTATCTTTTACTGCTCCCTCAGTTCCAAATTAATGACTGATCAAGCTTTTTAATAAAGTAAAAACTATGTGGTTATATTTATCCAGAGAGACAACAAACTGTATGAACTACAAGGTTATTATTTTTCACATATGGAAACATACAAGTTAAATTGGGACAAACGGGAAAATGAATAGAGATAACTTAAATTGAGACAAAGGAAGTACAAAGTGGGCACTGTAAAAGAGATGCAGTGAACTCATATTATGAAGTACCCAGAATTTCATTAAATTCAAATAACAAAGTTGACACGGTGATACATAAATGCATTATGTTTTGAAATCGAATTTTGAAGAACAAAAAAGAGTTTTAAAGGATAAAAAAGAACAACAATTTCTGTTAGCCTCTTTGAACTGATCACTTCCCTTTTGCACTCTGGAACTAAGGACAACAACCATTAAACCTCGCGCCATAAATAGCATTAGAAAAAAGGAATCTATTTCCATCTAAAGCTGTAAATAATTAAATTGATCTTATTTAAATTCAAACGTTGTGTTTTCTTCTTTTGGAGAGATTACTGAACTGGGTTATAATCTAAACGCTCCTAGCTTGATTCACATAAAAAATTGAAAAGTGAGATTCCGATTATAAAAACTAAACATATTGCGGGCGAGTATATGCGATAGATTATAGCTCCAATTGAACTAACCAGCTAAAGCGGAATGTACATGTACGGATGGAACGAGGGTTGAAGGTGCAGAGAAATCAGTGGTAGATGCGGCAGCAATGGCGGCGACGGCGGCGGAGGCAGCAGCGGCGGCAGTTTGGTTGCTTCCACTGCCGACTGGGCGTCCTCTCTTCGCCGGCGTAGGGGCGATGCCCCCCGATCCTGAGCTTTGCTTCCCTTGTTCTCTTTTCTGCATTTTGTCAGATTTACCCCAGGTGAACGAAACAAAAATACGGAGTATTTAAAACAAGCCACAAACCCACCAATTTGACACCAATGGTTGGTGGTGGAGCACACAAATTGGTTGGTCATGTCGAGTTCAGGTTTAATTTGGTTATTTCGAATGCAAGTTACTTCGAGTTTGAGTCAAATCGGGTTTGGATTGAAAACTATATGTTCATGACTCACTATCTTCGGGTTCGAATCGACCCAACGAGTTATGACTTTAATTTTTAGACTCTTTAAAATTATATTAACACTTGCATTTTGTATTAAATAAAATTAAAAAATCAAAATATATGTATTAAACCTATTAAATTATTTTATTTTAAATGATAAAGTAATTTTTAAATATATAAATCAATATAAAAAATTTTAAAAAAAGATTATTTTATGCAAAAAAGTAAGATAATTATGAAATATCATTAAAGCTATTTGAAAGTATTAATTTATACACTAAAATTGAGAAGTAAGAAAAAATATATAATTATAACCTGTTTTTATAACATTATATTTCCTAGTAAAGTATATAATTTTGAAAATTTCTTACATTCTTATAAAATTTCTTACATAGGTACTGACGTACTGTTTGGTGACAGGTACCGGCAGAAGAAAGGGAAAACGGGGCAAGTGGCAGTAGCTCGATACCGTGCCAGTGGTACCAGCCTAGCGTCTGTCGCGGCGAAGCCTGCACCAGCTCCATTTTTCTACATCAAACCAACATCATCTAACATGCTCGCAACGTACTTAATCCAATTCATGCTTCTCAAACCATAAACAACGTAAATTGTAACACCCCGGCCCCCACCCTGGTCGTAAGTGTTCGCTCATAGGATTATAGACTGACCCCACAAACCAACACAAGTCTTTCCCGCACACTTTGTCCTCACTCGTGCGCGCTCAAGGAATTTCGCAGTGGGTCACCCATCCTAAAATTGTTCCAAGTCAAGCACGCTTAACTTTGAAGTTTTTAGGTGATCAGCTCTCGAAAAGAAGATACACCATGTTGGTATGAGTAGTACTATTAATCCTTTTGAGCCTTTTTTTCTCCAATCCATTTATTTTCAAATTAGGGTATTACATAAACAATGCATAATTCACGTAGGGTTCACATAGTTCAACCGTAACGTCTATGCGAACGTAAGATTCAAACCTATGACTATAACCATACGTTAGATGTCCACGTACTCACCTCGAATTCGACAAATATACTACAACGATAATACTACGGGCGCGGGAGCGCGACGGCGAACTATTCTTCTTCTTCCTTCTTTCTTTTCTCTTTCTTTCCTCGTTGCTGCCGTCTGGTTCTGCTGTCCTTCTGTTGTTCTTCGATCGACAAGAGACGAGAGAGGGAGAAGTGAGTGAGTTTTACGTAATATGGTGCGGCTAAAGTGGTTTAGGCATGTAAAGGGGTTTATTTATAGGTTTGGGGTTATGGACTCTGTATTAACTTAATGTACGTGGCTCAAAACGCATTTTTCGGGCCCATAGGCTCCAAATCTGAATCCGTTTGCACCTTTGGATTCGTTCCATCGAATCCTACATAGCGGTATAAACTTTTTTATCAAACGAATAATATTTCATAATTCTACCGAGCCCGTCTCAGTAATTAATTAACTATTTTTAATTAATTAATTAATTTTGATAGGGCATGTTTCGGGGCGTTATACTTCTTCCCCCTTAAAATAATTTCGTTCTCGAAATTACCCGAGTCATTGATTATTCAAGAGTTGAGGATATTGAGCTCTCAGGGACTCCTCGATCTCTCAGGTTGCTTCTTCCACCGCGTGGTTTCGCCAAAGCACCTTGACCAAATAAACTGTCTTGTTCCTTAGCTCATTCACTTTGCACGCTAGGATCTGTATGGGTTCTTCTTCATAAGTGAGGCTCTTGTCGATGGTGACGGCTCCCTTGGGTAGAACATGTGATGGATCTGATCGATATCTTTTTAGCATAGACACGTGGAATACACCGTGTATCTTCTGAAGCTCAGGGGTAACTCCAGCCTGTAAGCCACTGGTCCTACTCGTTTAATGACTCAGTACGGTCCAATGAACCTAGGACTTAGCTTTCCTTGCTTTCCAAATCTCAACACCTTTCTCCATGGGAAAACTTTAGGAAATACCCAATCATCAACGTTATACGTACTCAATTTCTCAAACAAATTATGTAAAGATGATTTTAGTTAAATATTGTAAATTGAAATAGATAATTTAAATTGAAATGAATGGAGTAACATGATTTTACTCTGTTTGGCATGTGCGCTACTTTTAAGAATTTAGCTTTTCCTTTAAGTGGTAGTGGTTTTACTTTGTTTGACATGTTAGCTTCTGTTTTTCTCCACTACTATTTTGTACACCGAACACCTTTTTGGAAATTAACGGGGTCAACGGGAATTGAGTATTGAGGAAACTACAATCACGAAGTTGACTTCCCTATTTAATCAGGAAAGTCATTTTCCGCCCTTCATTTATTCTTTTTATTAAAGAAAAGTTTACATAAAAAATCTTTAATTTTATAAAAAATCTTCGAAAATTATAAATTACACAATTACTCAACAATTGCTTTGTTTTTATAAATCTACTCCACCTGCCACCTCACTTGTACAATCATACTAGTTTTCTACCCCGTGCTTCGCACGGGCTTGGAATGTGTTCAGGTGTCTATTAATTAAGATTATCAACTTTTTTGGTAAAAGTATGTAACACTTTGATTACAAATTAAATACAGTTTTAAGTAATTAAATATCAAAAAAATTTGATGTATGAAAACCATATTTTAAATGGACACAATTTTTATAAATTTACATTATAATTAAATATAGAGCAACTTGACCAAAAATATCAAATTGCAATTAAATGATAAACTAATAAAATTTGATTTAACTAATGAAAAAATAAAATAAAAATGCCAAATAAATTTAAGTAATGATAAATCATTGAAAATACATATGTGGTATATGGCCTATATGCCATGTGTTATACTTCAACAAAAACAAATTAATTTAATTTAATTTGTTAATATGATATATAGGAAATTAAATAATTTTACAGATAAAACATTTTTAAATAAAATAAAGTATATAGTTAGTAAATATATAGTTAATAAAATATACTCCGTAGTTATTTGGTAATAATATCAATATAAAATAAATGGTGGATTGTTATAAATATATACATATGATAATGTTAGTTTTTTCGTGCTTCGCACGGGCTCGAATATATTCTAAAATTTGACATCTAAAAAATAAAATATTGTTTATTTTAATTCTTTAATAATAATATATGAGGTTTATAAAAACCTAGTAAAAATAAATATGCATTTGTGACATCATATGTAGCATAGTATGCACACGTGACGTAAAAAGTTTTATACAAACTAAATGATCAATGAAAAGAATAATAAAGAAATAATTTTCAATTAAAAAATTAAAATAACAAACTTCAAATGAATTAATTAAGTAATGACACATAATGAAAAAATAGATATATGACATACAACGCATATCGTCTTTCAACTCTAACTTTGTTTTTTTAGTTTGTTTAGTATTTAATAAATATTTATATGTGATAATTAAAATGCTATAATACTGCATTGAAAATTTAATAACAATAAATGTTTTTTTGCTCAATAATAATGGTTATTTAGTGTAAGAAAGTGAAGAGTTCATAAGACATTAATAAAAATAAAAGATATTTAATGTATAAAAGTGAAGGTGTTTCATGAAAATTTAATAATACTCCAATAAACATATACATGTGGCATGACACGCGTCGAAGTATAATGCACCCGTGACCTAAAAATTTTATACAAATGTAATGGTCATCAAATATAATAATAATGAAAATTATTTTCATTGATAAAAATTAAAATAAAAATGTAAAATAAATCAATTAAGTAATGACACATCATTACAGAATGCATATCTGTCATGTGCCACATGTAATCCTTCAATTAAACTTTCACTTTCTTTAGTTTGATAAAAAAATATATAATAAATTAAGACAAAAAATTGAAATATGTTAAAAAGTTAATAAAGATGCATGTGTGATAAACTTTATATATAATAGTTTCTTTTGAGATGATGGATAATTTTAAAAATTATAAGAAACGTTGTTTTTTATTGATAAATTTTATATAATTTTTTTAAAAGTATAAAATAGTTGCACTTATTTAAAAAATGTTTCTAAAATAGTTAGAAAGTGAAAATTTTATAAAGAAATACTACGTAAT